TTTTTAATAATTAAAATTTATTACAACTTTTTAAATAAAAAATTATTTATTTTTAATAAATATAAGTAAAGACCCACATAATATACCATTTGAATAGTTCTATTCAAAGAAAATTATTTTTTAAACTATTTAAATCGTTTGTGATTTTGGTTTTTTTGAAAGTTGCAATCAACTTCAAAGTGAAGCTAGATTAAACAGTTACACTATTGTTTTATCATGATAGTTCTATTCAAACAACATTTCTAAAAAAAAAAAAAAACGAAAATTGTAATGAGACTAACAAGACTCAAGAAGAGTGATTGACAATTTGACATTCAAAGCAACTAAATTTCCAAATTTAATAGAATATAGTGAGCTTAGATTTTTTTAATTTTTTTCGCCATAGATATTTTCCTAGTGAACTTATGAGTGCTCGCTCTGTGCAACCTTTTTCAGTCAAAAGGAGATCAAGAAGGAAGTGGAAGATTGATCCATAGACAACATTTCTTGCTGCAGACTAAAGAATCCAAAATTTTGTGGTTCTTGAAAGGACCACGGATTCAATGCCGAACTTATTCTTCTTCCTCAAATATTCAAATTTGTTGGAGTATAAATTTTATATGTGAGTGGAGTTAAATGAAATGCACAAGATATCACATTAGAGAGAAATAAAGTGTTAAAATGTGATATATATGTGAAGGCTTACGAACCTAACAGGCATGTCTTTTGAATCCAATATGACATCTCCCTATATATGTTCATAGGTGTGCACTCTTGAGCAGACCCAGTTGACCCATTAGAACTGTTAACAAGTGGTATCAAAGCTGATAGTTTGATCTTGGTGTGATCATTGTTTAAGGACGGGTTTGGTCAAAGATTGTGAGTGTGGAGAAGTCCAAGGTGCAATAAAGACTTCGTAATAGTGCTCCCATGGCAAAAGTAGAAGATGAGTAAAGTCTTCAAGCAAACAAGCGAGGTCCGAAGTAAGTATATTGGATGGAAAATTTCGAAATCATTACACTCACCGAAGAGTGACTCTTATGTGTACAAGAGAGAATGTTTGAGTATAAAGTTTGTATGTGAGTACAGTTGAAAAAAATGCACAAAATCCCATGTTGGAAAAAAATAAGGATAAGATGTTAGAATGCAATATATATGTGGAAGCTCATAAATCTGATAAACATATCTTTTATGTTCAATATGATATCATCTCATATGTGTTTGTGTTTTTTTTTATGTGTGCACTCTAAAACTAGCTCCATTGATTCAACAAAATTTAAAAAAGAAAAAAAAGAACGAAAATAAATTAAAGGGAAAAAAATTCCATTTTTTAGTCAAGAATCTTTGGACCTTCCCCCAACCCACCAAAACTAGTCAGAAGAAAATTTATGGGTTAATTAGTTTATAGCATCATATCCAATCACCATTTAGGATTTGTAACCCAAGTGGGTTAGGTTGTGCTCTGCTTTAATTAACTATCCCACTAATAGATATCACGGGGATTTCTCTTTTACAAAATTGCCATGGCTATGTTTCAATTCATGATTAGCTAAAAAGTTGCACACTTGACACTTCCATTCTGATTTTCCTAGTGGGAGCAGGATAACCCAGTTGATAAAACCCTGTCTTTCTCTTTCTGTCTGAGATAGAAGTGATCTGATTCGAATCTGATTGTCAAAGATATATCGATGATGTGATTTGCAGACAATGTTCGGTGTCTGGCTTCAACATGTTGAATTTCAGAAAACCAAGAGCAGATAATGATGTGATAATTAATTTATGGTACATGGAGACAAAAGTTAAATTTTCAACTTGAGCAGGTAGTCCTCTCTTCTACACAAATTAATAAAAGATCATATCACTAACCCAGAAAATTAAACGCAAATCTTGAGAAATTTATAGACTTTCCTCACATTGAACTTCCCTCAGTTGTTCACACTCTAAACATCTGGACAAATTAAATGACGGTGAGTGTGA